AAAAGATGGATATGATTTTCCATGTTTCTGCATATGATCTCAAGAGCGTGTGACCTGTGGGGGACATACTAAACCACCACCCAGCACCCAAACCCTAGGCTGTAAGAAGCTATTTTATTTATTTTTCTATATTTTGCGTATGCTCTCTTCAGAACATAAAAAGTTGCTGTCTATGGGAACAGGTACTTGAGCAGGACACCCCTAAACCTTAGGCAGTAAGAAGCTGTTTTTCTTTGTGATCGTGTGGTTTTTAAAAACAAACAGAAAAAACAAAACAAACAACAAAAACAGGGCTCCGAGTTTCTGGTCTCGCTTCTAACATTTCTAGACATGATTCCAACAGATAACGGATTAAGGCCATGACTTTTTTTTTTTGTTTCCCTATTCCTGTCTGTTTTGATAAAGGCTTAACAATTTTACTCATGTAATATTTGATAAGGGCCAAGACAATTTTATACTAAAGTTATTTTTGATGACCTCGAGGTGTTGTTTTATTATTATTTGATTTTAAGTGAAGAGCAAGAAGAGGACGCTACTGATGTGGTCAGAAGTCAGTTTTTGGTGGGAGCTGTTGGGTTCATTCATTCTCAAATGGTCTGAGTATTTGAAGCAGTTACTTATAACTTTTGCTTGACATGCAAACAGTGTAGAACCAATTTCAATTTTCTTGTTGCACTATTCATTTGGTAATATTTCAGAACTATTTGTGAAACGTGATTTTAAAATACCAACTTTAAAAATAATCAACTATAGCAGTTTTTAAAACCTAGATTGAAATTCATATTTTACTGCCTTTATAGGAAGTTATCTACAAACCTGGGTAATACTTGTACATTTTGACTGTTTTCTTTAATAAAATATCAAAAACCTTTACTGTATGTAATTGTTTCAGAATGGCAGCATTCTGCTTTGCTGACAAATAACTTGTGTATGTGGAAGGCTGTATGTCTTGTGTCTGAGTAGATTTCACAGCTGAGGTTATTATGGACAAGCACAATCCTTATTTGCTGTTAGAACTTGATTTAGGTGTTTATACCAATAAAAGTGACTAAAGCGATTTTTAAGAAGACTTAAGTTCATGATGGGCAACAGGTTCAAATAGCACAATGCTTTGTGTCTGCTCAAACTAAATTTCTATTTTAGCTAATTGCTCCTGTGCTAATGATAGAAAAGAGTGCATAATTGTGGGTCACTGATTTTAGTTGGCAAAGCAGGTTTTTTCTTGTGTGGTGACTTGGTTAATACCATATTCATTTGTAAACTGTGCTCTTAACGGGTAATTTGCATTTATTAAGTGTGGCATTTTAACCTGCTTTATTGTTCAGCAAAAACTTCTCTCCAAGTATCTTAACTGGCAGCCTGATAGCAGGGGCCTGACACAGCTTTTTGCCATCTCAGAGGAAGCTGTTCCTGACGTGCTTTCTTTCTGATGTATCATGTAACATTTAACAAACATTGATCATCACGGTGCTAGAGCAAGTTGCACACAAAATGACAGAGATAAGCTCAGTTTCCGTGAAGAAACCTGCATCGGTGCTGAGAGTATTTCTGTAGAGAGTAGTCCAAAACTGTTAGACATCAACTGAGAAAGAGTTGTCCTGGCTGTGAAGTGAGCACAGAAGAGACATCTCTGATGGCTCAGAAGAGGGCTAAGGTGGCAGCTTCAGACTTAGGCAGGGAATGAAATGAAGTGGGGCCTCGGGTTTGGTTTTACATCTTGCTTTGCATCCCCAGCTCAATTTTGAACACCAGAGAGGCAACATTTCTTGAAGCGTGCGTAAGGAGAAGTTTGCAATTTGAGTTTTTGAGAAGTTCAGCGGGAGGAAGATTGAGCTGTGCTGGTCCTGCCAGAGCTGGGCTAAGAAATTGTGGTGAATGGGCTATCTTAAAGTGAGATTTAATGATCATTTCCAAAGCTCTGAAAATGCATCTAGGTACAAAAGAAAGCTGTCAAGAACTTAGATCACAGCTGAAGTTGGTTATCAGTGCTAATTATATTTTCATCCTGGAATATCAGATCGTACCTTAGCAAGTCTGAGAGTAACAGGGCAGAGTTGTGTTGCAAAGACTTGAGGGCAGGGCATCGATGCTGTTGCTCGGAATTGTGTTCCAAGAGTACATTACGTGCCTGTCAGACTGCTAGGTCTTTGCAGTTGGGTGCCAACTTTCACAGAAACTTATTTCCTTAAAACATAAGAAGCTTCCTATGTAGGTACCTAAAATTGTGATCTCTAACTTAATCTTGCCTTCTTTTTCCTAATCCTGCTGGTACCCAAGCCAATGTTTTCTTTCTCTTACGCTATTAAAAATCTCTGATATTTTAGCATCCTATCTCTCTTCCAGGCTATAAGTAGTACGGTTATGATTCTATTTAAACCGCAGAGATGGGAGAATAAGTTATTTTAAAACCTCCTTAAAAGCCGCAAGGACCAGATTTTTCACTTCTAGAAAAATTAAGAACAACTTGTATAGACAATCCTATATGCGGGGGATAGAAAATCACCTCTGGGTGACCTGATGGTTTTATTTAGACTTAGCTTATCAAGCCATGCTGCTGTATTGAATGACAATCTCCATGCATAAGCATCCACCATCTCAGCATGCGCTCGCTAGGTGGGCGAGTCCAGTTCTTACCCACTGAAGATAATTGCTATCACCCATCAGTGGTAACTAGATAGTCGCAAAAGGATACAAAAAAAAGTTTAAAAATAAAATCTGTGTACCATGCCTTTTGCTGTCGCTTGCATATAGCTTCCAGGGCTGTCTCAGGACTTCTGTTGTGCTCTGATGGCAGAACTGGTGCTGTTTGAGGTTAATTTTATATTTAGGTAATTGTAATATCAGGCAGATTATGATCCTGGCCATGTGAGTACGAAAGAGAAAGAACTCCAGTAGCTTTAATTCAGGGTTTAGGCAGGTGGTGTACAATAGGGCTTCATTCCAGAAAATGTAAAACTAAATATCAAGGACAGAAAATGAAACAGTACTCGGTGCCAGCACACCATCAAACACCACTTTGCAAGTCTATCCTGCTGGCTGAGAGTGCATGAAGAAAGTATGAAAACCCAGAAAGGGCTGGAGAGGCACCAGAGGATAAATATTCCTTCTGAAATCTGACAAAAGGAAGTTGCAAAACAAACAAACAAAAAAAAAAAACCAAAAAAGAAAGAAATGAAAAATAACATTTCCAAAGCACAGTATTAACATGTTCTCAGAGTATCCTTTACTCTGCATGTGGGGAAAGTGGGTAACAGAGATTAAATGCTTTGACCAAGAGAAGATGAAAACTTACTCTGGATAACAAAATTGGAGAAAGAACATTGGGGAGAACGGGCAGAGCTCGAGGAGACATCTCTGATGGTGGTGGGACCTGCGAGGTATGGCTGTAAACCTCCGTACCCTCCGGTGCCCATCCGAAAACCAGAGTGCTACTGGTCTCGCTCAAAATTACTAATGCTGAGACTCAGCGAGAGCTGGGTGCTAACAATTGCCTCCCACGTTCACGTGAGAGGCTATTGCAGCTTGTTGTGCAAGTCCTGGGCTCGCTTGCGAAAACTCAGATGGTCTGAACCCGCTCTCCCCATCCCCACTGACCAAAACATGAAGTACTGGGAGGGTTTGGTGAGCTGCCTGGCAGTGGGGCTCTCCCAGCTCTTCCATCTACCTCTGCGTGACCGGAATGCAGACTGAGTCTTCTCTATACCCTTCCAGGCAGAGGTATGATAGTTTTCCATATCCTGAGCAACACGAGTGCTGAGTATCACAGGAAATACCAACATCATCTCCCCTGGAGACTGTCCGCGGTCTGGCTCAGAGGTCACAGCGCTCTTGTTCTTGCATATCTGTGGTGAAGAATTGCAGTTGCACCGAGAGCTGCTCTGGGAAAATCTTGATTGCTGCTGGCATCTTCACTCGCTCACCAGGTATTTCACACATTCCTTGCAAACGTTCCCAGTCAAAATCTTGAAGTCAGTGGATTTTTTTTATTTTTTTATTTTTTTTTTAGCATAAACTGAAATGTCAGTCCAGCTTGAAAAATGACACTGGTCTGAAATCTCCACAAGTAGCGGCTATGGTGATCTCCGATTTACAACACAGCACGCTTGGGAGTACTGTGGGGTGCTTCCAGCTCTGCTGTTAGATTTTGAGTTTGCTGGAAAAGGGGCTGAAATACTTGGCCCCAGCCAAATTATCTTGCTGGATAAAGGTCTCATTCAGTGGTTGTGCTAGAGGATGAGCAGGGGGGGTGCATAGCCCACAAGCTGTCAGCATTTGCTTTTCCAGTACCGGCTCTGCCGCCTCCCTGAATGCTGTGAAGCCAGTATCTTCAAGGAAGAGGGCAGGGAATTTGGCTTAGTCTGATAGCAACAATTTTTTTTTTTCCTGGGGCTCTACTTGGGTGTGATACAGCCACACCTTTTCAGGATGCTGCTCTGCTATATGCTGCAGGACTGCCCCGGGACGTTGTGCTGAGCTCCGAGGAGAGCAAAGCTGGTATTTTCCCCTCCCTTCCCAGCAAAAGATACATGGGTTTTGTCATGGACCTCTGCCACTTGCCCTACACTCTTAAGCACAGTCACCTTGCCCCTTTGTAGCACATGCACTTGCTCAGAGTTGCCAAAAAACTCCCCCCGGAGAAGTGGCTCTGGACAGAGTAACAGACACACGTTAGCATAATACGATGTTTCATTAACTTAAGCTGTAGATTAGATGATTCTGTGCATTATCAGAATACCCCAGAAACCTTATTAGGTAGTTATGCTGCAAATAAAAAAAAATATAAAAACATGGCAGGGGGGCTGTTTTCTAATAGAGGTCAGCTAAAATCCTCAATTTTAGTACAGCTTCCTTTATAGTCGCTCAA